CTCTACATCCTTTAATCTTACTCTGCACCACTCTGCATCCTTTAATCTTACTCTGCACCACTCTAAATCCTTTAATCTTACTCTGCACCACTCTACATCCTTTAATCTTACTCTGCACTACTCTACACCCTGTTTTCTTACTCTGCACCACTCTACATCCTTTAATCTTACTCTGCACCACTCTACATCCTTTAATCTTACTCTGCACCACTTTACATCCTTTAATCTTACTCTGCACCACTCTACATCCTTTTTTCTCACTCTGCACCATTCTTCCTTTTTTATTCATACTCTGCACCGATTCTACATCTTGATAGTCTTCGCCTGCACCATGTTTACACTCTTACATTATTGCTGTATTTTAATTTCCAAGAAATTGATATTTAAAGTTTAAGGAAGAGAGATTCTTGTTTGAAGAAATAATTCTTTCTCAATCTTAAAGTGTAAATATCTCTCTGGGCCTCAATCTATCTATCTATCTGTTTTCTGTCTATCTTGATAAAAATCTATCATCCTTCAATAGATAATCTGTTCATTTTCCCAGATACTCATCTTTCTATTCATCTGCTAGGGTTAAACTAATTTCCTCGATCCTTCCTTCTCTTCATCTTATCATTCCATATTTCTTTTCATTCAGAGGGAGATATTTCAGCAAAATATGCAACTCTTGTTTATTCAAACAAATTGCATAACTTATAATCTAGAAAATATTAATTAGCAAGATGGCGGTGCAGGTTGGAATATCCGGGTAGGTTTCTAAGTAGAAGTGCGACGAACAATTTATTCTCCGGGTGGTAAATCCCTCCGTGTTACTGGAAATCCTGGAGCTAACGCCCGGATTTATTCAAATCTGGCTCAAGCATGGATTAACGAGACTCTAGATATTTATTTTATTTTATACATCATTAAATATAATGTTTTAGTTCAGCTCTGGAATATTTTTTTCTTTTTTAAACTTCCAAGTTTTTTAATGATCATTCTTTTTTGTGGAAACTTAAAAATTGATATAAATCATCCTGGAAAATTAATCAGTTCTTTTATTTACAGTTTACGCTTCCTCTATATGAAGGATAATATATGGTCTGACAAGTTTTTGTGCGAATATATCATCATAGCATGCCTTGGACAGCTAAACACTTTAATAAAACAAATACAATAAGCGGGGGAAACTGTATTATTAGAGTTAAATATATTTCTCTTTTCTAGTGTTAAAACTACTGTCGCAAAACCTTTGAAGATTCTAAAAAGAAAGAAAGTTTTTTACAAAAGAAACTTTTAAAGAATGTAATGTTTATTTTTTTGCACCAGAAACTTTGAAAATTGAGAATTAATTTCTCCATTTAAAATTTTTTTGTCATAACAAAATTCATATTTTCAACAATTTAAAAGAGTAATTAATCTTCAAATATTTAAAATTAACTAAAAATTTGTATGAGTCAAAAAATCTTTTACGAATAAAAACTATACGATATGTTTTCTGTATAGGTCAATGCAATAGAATGGCTTTACTGTCTGTTTAATGCATTTATTGGCTTGAGAATCTTTGATTAGCAAGTTAATGCTAAAATATATTTACTCAAAAGCCATTATATATTTAAGCGTGTATTTAAAGTGTCATTTGATTTTTTTAATAGAAAAATAATTTTTTTTAAAATATTTTAGCTTTTACTAGTTTGTATAAGGCATATTTTTGGTGTACAATATTTAAAGGAGAAATGTGTTTTTTATGTTGTAATACTTGTACTTGTAAATCTTCTCAGTCTCATCTTGAATTATATATTATGAGGACATGAAATCTTAACATTTATTCTTTTCTTCCCTCCTACCTGCTCTCTGTTTATTTGTTTGTTTGTTTGTTTGTTTGTTTATGTTTCTCTACCTGGAACCATTAGGATTTAAAAGAAACAAATGTTTATCTGCGAAGATTTAGAATCTTATATTCATGGAATAATTCAAGACAAATAAATCTTATTCTTCTAAATATATTCTATCTGGGGGGGGGGGGGTACCTGTAGTAGATCTAAACTGGGTTTGCATCACTTCCCTCTATTTCCTAGTTGTTTAAATGATGGGAAAATGGTCTACTCTGTGAAGAGTGAAGAATATTTAAACATATTCTGAAATATTCTTGAAGAAAAATTGTTCCTGTAAACACATGGAATAGTAAATATCGTCTGGACAGCAGAGGAACCGTGATACAACTATAGGAACTTAGATAGATAGAAAAATAAAATACCACCATTGAAAGGAACCCATAAAAATGGTAGAACAACATTGATTACACCTCTATCAAGTTTTATTTCTTCCCTGATTTCAGTATTTGTCGTTAATTATCTGAACTCAAGATGAAGACGACAGAAACTAAAATCCGGGACGTCAGAAAAATCTTAGACAGGTAAAATCAGTGTTATTTTGCTATCTTAATTATTGGTACCTTAAACATCGTTCATATACCTGAATAATCCCTTTAAATAGAACTGTAAAAGATATATGCTGGAAGCAGGGTTTTGAAAGAGATAAAGTAATACAACAACATTATTATATTAGTGAGATGACAGGGATAGACTCCAAGAGACTAGTTTCAAGTATAGAATGGTCCAGTCCAGCTCCTTCAAGAGGTTCCTCAGTAATTTGAAACTCTTGAAAAGTAATTGGTTGTAGTGTTTGTTCTACTGTTTGCTTACTAAACACATACAAACTTTACAACAAACAAACCAGAAACTTGACAAACATCAAGCCAAACCTTCATCTTTAAATCTGTGAAAATATAGAAAATAAAGGGGATGGTGGAGTTGGCACATTTGATGTAGGGGGGGGGGGCCCTGCCTTCATTTTTGGTTCAAATCTTCCAATTTTTTGGATGCACGCCTAATTAGGGTTCGAAATTCCTAAAACAAAATCAAATTGAACTTTAATGACCTCTAATGACCTCTAATGACCTCTAATGACCTCCACAAATAGAAAATATTTCAACTATGGCTTAATGCATATCAAACGAAAGCTAGGAACCCCAGGAATACAGTAGCAGCAACAAATCCAGTGTTTGACCTT